GTCACTAGTTGGGTGGGACATGCAAAACACGTGACCAGCAGCCCATTGATTACTCTGCAATCACTTGCTCTGGCCTGACACTCGGACAGGCTCGGTTGTGGCAGGCGTGACCAGCTAATCGCCTATATGAAGCGGCCGGCGGCTCGATAAATAAACCGAGAACGCTGTGTCCCTACTGCAGCGAAGTACAGGCGGCAGAGAAACAGCGAGCGGACAGGTAACAGTCAGAATACTACACGGCAAACTATGCCCTTACTGCAAACCTCCAGCCTAAACGACAACAACCCGCCCTCTCTCATTTATCCTCCAATGAGAAGCCGATGCTCTGTCACGTGGTATTGTCTTCACCAATCAGAAACGACGTAGGGTTTTAGCCGTGCTAGTCCTAGCAGAGTGCTCCCCTCGAGCAGCCAATCAGAGGGCGCGCTTGTCGGAAGTTCCCGTCCAATCAGCGGGCGGGTCTCGGTACGTGGGGTGTGAGTGACGGTTCCTGCTCTCGGCTGCTCCGTCATGTCGGCGGCTCCGTGTTCGGCTTCCCCGGCGGCCTCGGGCGGGTCGGTGCCCGGGATGTCCATGTTCCGCTGGCTGGAGGTGCTGGAGAAGGAGTTTGACAAGGCGTTCGTGGACGTGGATCTGCTGCTGGGGGAGATAGACCCGGACCAGGCGGACATCACGTACGAGGGCCGGCAGAAGATGACCAGCCTGAGCTCCTGCTTCGCTCAGCTCTGTCACAAGGCGCAGACCGTCAGCCAGATCAACCACAAGCTGGAGGTGAGCTCGCACGGCGCACATGGCCGCCATGGTGCATGGCCGGGGGTGCTGGGAGTTACGTGCTGGGAGTTACAGTCTGCACCAGCAGCGCTGGCTTGGTCGGATTCCCAGCCCAGAGCACACAGCTAGATATGGGACGCACTGTATCTGGAGCAATCACCATGGCAACCAGGAAAATGGCCATCACCTGCTCCACTGTATTAGCTCCATCAGTATCAGCCACAGTGAGCAATCTGTGCTGGCAGATACCTGTGTGTGTGTGTGTGTGTGTAACAGGGATTTAAAAAATAAGTGTGTGTTTTTATATATATATATATATATATATATATATATATAAAAATCTCTAACGTCTTCTGTAGAGCTAAGCCTGAATGCTGGAGATGAGCAGTTTCCCAAGAATGGAAGTGCTTGCCCATATAGCGTGTATGCATGTTGTATTTGCCCACTTCTTTAGCTTAGGCTGGGTCTCTCTAACCTTGTGTTGTCGTGTTGATTTTACTGTCGATGAGAGTCTTAGGTGTCTCGTCCAAATGCCCCTAGGGGGCTGGTGCTGTCGCTTCTTGTGGTGGAAGGGTATTTAAGACGGTCAGCCATGGTCTCCAGGTAGTTGACATACCTGTGCGAAAACGAGTAAGATAGCTCCTTTATAATCCTGATGGAGTCTACTTTCTGGATCCATTCTCTAATGGAGGGGTTTGTGGGCTTTTTCCATTTAACGGAAATAAGGCTGTGAGGAGGTGGCTTAGTAGTAGTCTGGTATGTTTGGGCAGGGGAGAGGGGTATAGCATGAGTAACAAGGCCTTGGGGTTGTGTGGGAGTTTGACGCCAGTAATTGCATGCATGAGGTCATTCACTTTCCCCCAGTATGTTTGTATGATGGGGCATGTCCACCAGATGTGCTCTGGTGTACCTATTCCTTGGTTGCACCTCCAGCACGTGCTTGGTGAGTTGGGGAAGAATTGATTTACCCTTGTCAGCGTGTAATACCACCTAGCTATTCTTTTGTAATTTCCTTTTGTGGGTGTTGATGCTCAGGGATGATTTGAAGATTCGTGTCCAGTCCCTGTTCAGTAAGGTTATCCTTAGGTCCCTTTCCCACTGTCTGGTAAAATCTGGGAGACCGTTAGCTTGTTGGTTTTGGACAAGTTTGTTGAAGGTGGATAGATGTTTTGGCTTTTAAACTTTGTGAGGAGCAAATCATTTCAAATTGAGTGGGTGTTCTCAAGCCCTTTAGGAGAATGGGATTAGTCTGGATATAGTGTGTGATTTGCTTTGTCTGAAACAAAGCATTTCAGTTCGCCGGTGGTACGAGTTCGTCAAAGGGTCGTACACCCTCATTCGTTAATAGTGGTCCCAGAGCTAGGTAAGTCATGTCAGGTGTGAATTCCCTGAGCGCTCCCGGCTTAAGTCCTAGGAGGAATAGCAGGTTCTGTGTGAGTGGGTACAGAGGTGAGTGGTGCGGTGCTATGTTTAGGGTCTGTATGATCTTTGCCCATAGCTGTAATGTCGGCGTTATCGTGGGGTGTGGTGCGTGTCCCGGTACCATGTAAGTCATTCCCGTGTCCTGCCATGGTATCATGTGAATGGGTGTTGTGAATGTAGCAGCCTCCAATTGCACCCATTGTTTGCGATTGTGTGGCTGTGCCCATTCAAATATTCTGGTGAGTATGGTGGCTTGGTGGTAGATTTCTAGGTGTGGTAGACCTAGGCCTCCCTGTGATTTTGTCTGGTTAGGCAGGTGTATTTTAGTCTAGGGTGTTTGTGTGCCTAATATGAAGGACGAGAAAAGGCGTTTCACTTGTATAAAGAAGGTAGGGGGTAGCCTGATGGGCAGGATTTGTAGCAAGTAGAGTTGTTTGGGTAGTAGATTAATTTTCAGAATGTTTGTATATTCTACAAAGCCACCCAAAGTACGGCTTGTTCCAGGTCCTGAGATCTGTGGCAATGGATGTCAGTAAGGGCGGGAAGTTCAGGTCATATTTCTCTGGTAACATTTTTGGTAAATGATACTAGATACTTGACGGCCTAGATGACCAGCTGAGGGCAGTCTCATTATAACGTCTTTGGTGATGTTGGAGATATTGAGAGGTAGTATCTCGCTTTTGGTGACATTGACCCTGAAATTAGACACCTCGGCATATGTGTCTATCTCTGTGAATATATGGGGGAGACACATGAGTGGATCTGTAATCGTGAAAAGCAAGTCGTCGGCAAAAGTTGAGACTTTGTGTTCACTGCCCTGTGTTGTAATGCCCTTAATGCCTGGGTGTTCCCTAATTTCCCAGAGGAAGGGTTCAATGGAGAGTATGAAGAGGGGGGAGTGGGGACACCCCTGCCTCGTACCATTGACAATGGGTACCTTGACTGATAGTTGGCTGTTGCCCCTGATTCTGGCTCCCAGTTTGGAGTAAATGGCTGATATCCATTTCATCCAGTTTGGGCCAAAACCCATGGCTTGTAGGGTGCTGGTCAGTAGGGACCAGTCCACCCTGTGAAATGCCTTTTCTGCATTGGTGGTGAGGATGAGGCTCTGCGATGTTTCACTCTCGGAGAGGTGGATAAGGCTTAGGAGTTTAGTGGTGTTATTTTTAGCCTCCCTCCCGGGTACGAATCCCACCTGATCAGGGTGAACTAGGTCTCCCAATAGTGGTCTGAGATGGGTAGCCAGGATCTTCGTGAAAAGCTTCGGGTCAATATTGATCAAGGATATCGGCCTGTAGCTTCCGCATTCTGCTGGGTCTCTCCCAGATTTGGGTATTAGGGTTATGTGGGCCTCCAAAACTTGCTCGGGTAGGGAGCTTTATTGTATGAGTGAGTTGAAGGTGCGTATAAATGGATCTGCAAGTTCGGAAGATAAAGTTTTATAGTGCTTGGCCGTGTACCCATCAGGTCCTGGACTTTTGCTCAGTGGTAGGTGTTTAACTGCTAGAGGGAATTCATCCAGTGTTAAGGGGGCATAGAAGACCTGTCTAAGGTTCCTGGGATCGTCTGAGCGAGTCGTTTAGACAGAAAGTTGTCTATGTCGGATTGTGATGGTGGAGATTGTCTGAGGTTGTAAAGATTAGAGTAAAAGGTATGGAAGGCATTTAGTATCTCTGGCATGTGGTGGGATGTCGTCCCCCTGGGTGTCTTAACCTGGTATATGAAAGTTTGTTGCCTATTGTGCTGTAAGGCTTTGGCTAGCATGCACCCGTATTTCCCTCCTTGAGCAAAGTATGAGTGTTTGGAGAGCAGTAGCTTGCATTTTATCTGGGAACTCAAGAGTTGTTGTAACTCGGAACGTTTATCAATGAGTTGTTTATAGATGTCTAGGGAGCATGTATTGCTATGTTTTTGTTCTAGTTGTCTGATGTACCGTGTAAGTGTTCTAACTTGGGCTTCCTTGTGTTTCTTATGTTTTGATGCCAGTGCAGTAAGGTGCCCTCATATTACTGCTTTGTGGGCTTCCCACGTGATTGGGGGTGAGGTTGTTGTAAATGTATTTTCCGAGAAGTAGTGTTGTAGGTCAGTAGATATCTGTTTAACTATGGACCAGTCATTGAGAAGAAAATTGTTTAGCTTCCATTTTTGGAGGAAGGGTGTGTATGTGAATGGCCAGGGATATAGGCGCGTGGTCTGACCATGTTATGGGACTGTATGCACAGGGCTGGATCATGTGTAGGTGTCTATGCTGCAGGAATACCATGTCAAGCCTGGAGTAAGAGTGCGTGACGTTAGAGTAGAACGAGTAGTCCTTCGTTTGGGGGTGGGTTATCCGCCAGCTATCGAATAGCCGTGCTTGGTCTAGTAGTTGTCACCCTAGCTCTAGTCGAAACTTGGTAGGTATTTGGAATGTGAGGTGGTGTCTAGGGCAGAGTCTATAGACCCGATCATGTCAGCCCCTAGTATGAGAATCCCCTCTGTGTGCCCTCTACCTTGTGAATGTATTTCCAAAGGGAGCTGCATTGTTTGGAGTTCGAGAGATAGATTTGCCAGAGTCACCGCCGTGTTGCTTATCAGTACCTTGACTACTAACAGCCTGCCGCTTGGGTCTGAGTAATGGTCTATGTATTTAAATGGGGTATGAGTTCCTATAAGGATGGCCACTGCTCTTTTTTTTTGGGGCTTTCATATAGTTACAGAAATATCCTTGAGGGTAGCGCTGGTCCTAGAGAGTCGGGGCTACTGAGTTTGTGGCGTTCATGGAGCACTAGGGAGCATTTGGCAGGTGAGTTTAGTCCCCAAACATTAAATGTGACCACGTTAAAATCAGCCATGTGTGCTGCTGAGCTGTATGCTAAGGACTGAAATAATATCCTGTTGTGTGTATGCTGTCACAGAGTATTATATAAACAATAGGTAGATGCAAAGTAAAACTAAGGTAACTATTTATTTACAGGTTAACAAAGAGTAAAAACAGTGAGCTAGAGATTAAGTTCAGGCAATAGATGGATGTAGCCAGATGTCTTTCCCCTGGTTCTGGGTCACCTTAAGGGGAACAGAAGTGGCACCACTTCAGTGGCTCTCGTTTCTCTGCTCAGAGAAGCTGAGTGAGGGTAACTAAATTAAGGTGCTCGCTGAGGAGTCGGGGCAGACAATCCAAGTAATACTGGTGTCCTAACTTTTGTTTAGGGTTCGGGGTGGTATAATGGGTTTTATTTGGGGTAAGGGTATGGTCTGCTGATCAGTCCCCCATGTCTGGGTTGGGGGGAGTGGGACATGTTGCTTGGGACAATTTAGGGGGTTGTGGCTCCCCCGCCCTCTAAGTCCCTGGTGTCTTCACCCCCATGGGTTGGTGTGCGCTTTGCCCCATGCGTGGCATCAGTGGTGAGTGTATTAGGTGGGGCGAGGTGACCCCACTTTAGGTGGTCGTGACTTGGACCCGGTACTGAGGATTACCAGGGTATGTGAGCCATTTTGTGAGGGGTGGGAAGTGGGGTGATACGAGGGTGTGGTGCCGTAGAGGCCCATGTGGATAGGATGTGGGGTATCTCTGGTACAGCTGAGATGTGTCTGAAATGCAAGTGACACAATAAAAGGTGTACAACATACATGATACACTTTACCATCTGTTTACATCTCTTTGTCAATTTGCACGCCACAGCTACCCATCCGCTGGGTATTGTAGGTCTCAGTTCGGTGAGGATCTTATCCAGATGCTGGATATTGGCTCGAGAGGCGTTCTAGGCCGTGTCCGATACGTTCAGGATAGTCCAGATTTTGGGGTGCTGTTGGGCTGGGTGGTGGAGCTAAGTTTCACAGTGGCATAAGTCCCTTGGAGGTCAGTGTCCATGTGTGCTCGGGTTCCAAGGCATATAAAATCTCTCTTTAGGGGTGTAGGGCTGTGAGTGTGCCATCTATGCCCTGTTTCAAGTATGCAGTGTGTCCTGTTTTCCATTCTGCCTCCCGTCGGTAGTCCTTATGAAGTCTAGGGGTAGAGGATTGTTATTGTTGTTTGGTGTTTCAGTTATATTTTCTAGGGTGTAGGTTGAGTCTTTTGTTACTAGCAGGGTCTTGGATGCAATAGTGGGCTGTCGGGTACCGATCTACAGGTGCTATGCGATAGTTTACTGTCTTGAGGAAGAGCCCACTGGGGTTTGCGGTCTAGAGGGTGGATCCCTGTGGTCATTCCGGCATCGCTTAGATGGAGTCTGCCATCTTGGGTGTTGTGGCAATCTTGTCGCTGGTTGGGCCTGTTGGCGACTGTAGCAGTCCTGGAGATGCACATTAGGGAGTCCCAGGGTCTGAGTGAATAGTTCTGTGTCTCCTGCTGCTGATAGGGTGGCTGTAGCCCCGTTATTTGAGGCCGTGAGGGATAGAGGGAATCCCCACCAGTAACTATTTCTGTCCCGCAGTATGTCAGTGACGGGTCACTGATTCCAGTTTTGTAATTTCTGTTGGAGTTAAACTGGGAAAACGTCTGCAAAGATGGTGTTCATTTAAGACTTTGTCGGGAACAACTTGTGTGGGCAATTTGGGAAGAGATTGGCTGATATGGAAGTGTTATTAAATTTTATTTATATAGCGACAAGCAAATTCTGTATCGCTGTACAATGGGGTTTGAAGGCCACTTGCACACAATTACAGGGAAGAGATTGCATAGGAGTTGAGGTTTGTCAAATTAATTATTTTTCGCTCCCAGTGTTACTTGAAAGACCTATTGTTTGTAATAAACTGGTTGGTCAGGACTTTAACCAGCAACATTGATGGGAGATTGTTACCATGGACTTGATATATGTAAGCAAGTAAATTATGTTGCTGCTGTTTAAGACGTGTTTTTTTTTTTTTTTTCCTTCATTGTTTAACATATTATTATGTTAACCCACTCACTCCAAAAAAGGATCACTGTCTTTAGCCATTCCAATTCAGCTCTGTCCAAAGTTTGTAATTTTAAATGGTTACTCCACCCAAAAACATTTGTTTTTGGTTGGAGTAAACCTTGTAAAAAAAAAAAGGTTTATATATATTATCTTCGCGTGTCCTTGCACACTCACTATGATATTCTAAATGCCGGGTGCATTCTTGTACGCAGTGCCAAAAATGTATAATATAAATAGTAAGAGGCTTGCACTCACAGTCTTTTCACGGACGTTTCAGCCTCCATCCATGGCTTTCCTCAGGATCAATACATTACAAATGCATATAACAAAACAAACCTTTATATTCAAACAATTGATTAGTTAATTTATAAACTTCTCTCACCACCCATGTTGCTAATTCATTTCACCGGCGTCCTTCAAATTAGAATGCGCATTTGTCAGTATGCCGCAACCCGGAAGCTGCATACTGACGTCGTCTCCCTTTGTTGCCATGGTAACCCGATATCACTTCGGGCTCCATAGCGACTAGCATAAACATACCACGATATATCTATTCTACAACTTATTATTCATGCAATCATTTAGTTAAATTATATAGTGACATATAACTTGCTACTTAGTGCCTATTAATTGATTAATAAAGTGACTTAAAAGGACACAGTTCTTAAATGTCTATTAAATAGATCGACAGTACTCCTCACATTATAATCAAAAAAATCATATTACTATGTATCTCAGCGTATTAAATTTAGTAACTTCTAAATAACATGTATGCTATCTATATACCATAAAGTGCTTTTAAATTACTTTAAAGTGACACATATTCTTATATATGTACAATAAAGTGCATCAGAAAATTTAAAGTCACCCGTGTGGCTTTATATACATCAAAATGCATAAGTGATTTATTTATTTTTTGCTACATACAGCATAGTGCACCATGTTTTATCTAAGGTGCCATATATTATAGTGCATTTAGGTTGAATAATCTCATAATAACATGTATGCTATCTGCCTTTAAATTACTGTAAAGTGACATATGTATGTAAAAAAGTGCCTTACATACCTATTATATACAAAAAAGTACTTGAAAGTGAATCATACAGTGATATATGTGCAATTATGTACATCAAAGTGCACACTATTAACTTAGTGCCATACATGCCTCTATGTACATCAAAGTGCATCTCAATTGGTATAAAGTGCCTTCTGCCCTGTTTGTACATTAATGTGTCTGATATATAATTTTAAGTACAGCTATACATGAAAAACTATTTGTTGGTTCTTGATGAAGTTTAATAGTACTTGTGTAAATCTAAGCAACATATAACACCATGGTGCAACCATATCTACACCTCTTAACTATTATTCATATGTCACAATTGTATCTCAAAATTAATCTTATACATACCCCTACATATTAAGAATATTGTACACACAATATACCATTAAAATTATTTTCGATATTTGACGCTAGCATGGCTCCCATGTACAAGTATATGTTTGCAACCGAACACATACTGAAGCCATTTCAACAATCCCCAATTTTGGTGCACTATGTCAAATCTTGAAAGACCTATTGTTTGTAATAAACTGGTCAGGACTTTAACCAGCAACATTGATGGGAGATTGTTACCATGGACTTGATATATGTAAGCTAGTAAATTATGTTGCTGCTGTTTAAGACGTGTGTCAAAGGGTTCCACAGTAAAAATTAATTGGGAACCCCTGCTCTTTACACGAAAACTGCTTCATTAAGGTAGTGATGACTCCTTTGTACACTTAATGGGTGTGTAGATCTGATCATACACCTGTAGATTTGTATCCTGTATAGGGCCTGTTTTTTCTTTTTCTTTTTTTTTTGATAACATTTTAAAAACTACTACTTTAATCATGTATTCATATGTTGCTTATTTGCCACATGAACTCGCCTCTTTAACTCCAGATGTTCTGGACTGTGTTTTCCATGATTGCAGCTGTTGTGCTAAAACGTGGGATCGCTACTAATTGTATCTTTGGTTTTTTTTTTTGGTTTTTTTTTCTTACTAAAATCTGTGAACTACTCATGAGACTTGAAAAAGGAATATTAGGTATATCAGCTTAATTAGTGTGATAGAACTGATGAGGAAGCTTGAAAGATAGGATTGCATTGCTTCCTGCACTGTAAGCATCAACTAAGGGAGACTGAATGCTGCAAATTATGCTAAGTCATGGGATGCGAGCTGGTGTCTGTTTTTGTGGCAGAGTCCATGATGACTGGGTATGCAGATGCCAGTGTTTTATTGTAAGAGACTGGAATTGATTTTTAGTTTTCTTTTTTTCTTTTAAAGGAACACTACAGTGTTACATAGTTACATAGCTGAAAAGAGACTTGCGTCCATCAAGTTCAGCCTACCTCACATTTGTTTGTTTTTTGCTGTTGATCCAAAAGAAGGCAAAAAAAAAAACAGTTTGAAGCACAATTTTGCAACAAGCTAGGAAAAAAAATCCTTCTTGACCCCAGAATGGCAGTCAGATTTATCGTTGGATCAGCAGTTATTACCCTACATTGAAAAATTATATCCTTGAATATTCTGTTTTTGTAAGTATGCATCTAGTAGCTGTTTGAACAACTGTATGGACTCTGATAAAACCATAGAAAATAGATGGAATGAAAATAGAAATATGTATGTTAAATGCTATAGTAGTCTACTTACTATTAAGAGTATGACTTCCTTCACCCTCCAATGGGCATTTAAAAAAAAAGTTTTTGCTTGCCTTATTTCCCCCGGCTGCTGGTCTCTGCACTGCCTCCACACCAGAGATCATCAATCCTGGTCATGTCAGCCAATTGCTATGCTTCCCCCATTGGTGAAGTGGGAGTCCAGTGACAAATTACCACGCTGTGTCAATCAGCATCTCCTCATAGAGATGCCTCCATGTTAGTCCTGGAGTCTTTAACAGATTTAGCGCCAAGGGACTCCGGCGTTGGAATCAGGTAAATGTTTAAAGGGTTATTTAACCCTTACATGGCTTGAGGGACTGCATAGACAGGGGGACACTTTACTGTTAGGAATACAGATATGTATTTGGAACACTAGTGTTTTTTTTTTTGTTTGTTTTTTGTTTTTTTTTTGCATTGTAGTGGTTCTGATGCCTACAATATCCCTTTAACATTCTAATCGTCTAACACATGTATAATCATTCTACAACAAAGACTCACTGCAGATTTTCTTAGTTGTTCTACTTGTGTTTAGCTACAGTATATTATCGTACATTGCATATGCCTGCCACAACACAGATTTATCCCATTTTTGGCAGGTCCTATCCACTTACGTGGGGGGAAAAACTTCCTATTTGAGCTTTCTGCAGTGCAAAGTTAAATTGGTCCCTGGAATGAGGTACGTCCCTGTCACAAGTGCCTCATTCCATTGCCCTCTGCAACCTTTCACTGTAGAGAGATTTTTTACAGAGTGTTTCTGTAAAGGTACACTCTGCTTAATGTAGCGGTTCTGGTTCAAAAATACTTTTCCTGCTGTCTCGGCAACGAGAAAAGGAACGGTTACTTGGGTACCTGTGGTCGCTACCAGTGACTGTTACTCAGGCAGCCACTAGAGGACATTCCTGTTGCAGTCCAATAATCTTTGCGGGACTGACCTTTAGTGTCTTCATGCTCCCCATAGAGATGTGTTGAGTAATCAATCTCTATAAGAAGATGCTGATTTTCACAGCATGGAGATTGCTGCACATGCACACTAGTCCCCCATAGTTTCTCTATGGGTAATTCATTACATGGCATCTCTTATGGCCCATGGAGGCATTGCCGCTGTGAGAACAGTGCACTGGGGAAATAAAAGGTAAGTAAATAGGTTTATGGGACCATAATAGTAAAATAAATATTGCGTTAGGAAAACACTCAAACAGCCATTAACAAACATGTATTCCTTACTTTAAGTACAAAGTCCCCGTTAATGTAATTGACCTATGATGGAGACCTGTTAGGCAGGTTTGAAAAAAAAAAAAAATGACCATGTTTCACAATGCAATTTCTTGGACACACCTAGTAGGTAATCTCATTTTAATTATTTTAAAGCACCACATTATTATACTTTTATAGTACCAACACATTCTGCAGTGCTATCCACAGGTACAATAGGTACCAGCAAAAAGACACAGTATATCTAAGAGTCAATACAAAAATTTACAAACGTAGTTGAGGGCTGTATTCTGTGTGAACAGTTTAGTTTAATAGTTCTGTAACAATGAATTGCAGCACATGTAATGCTACTGCTCGTGTACAGTATTAAAAAAAAAAAAAAAAAAACTGTTCCTATAGAACAACCTACCTTCCCTTGTCTTAAATCTTTTAATAAGTCTATTAAAACTGATCTCTTCAAGCAAGCCTAAGGTCTCCCTGTTATTCCATAACTCTCTGTGTACATAATTGGTGTCTATACAGTCTGCTTTACTTTATCACTTTGCAAATGCGGTGTGACTTCTTATTCCAAAACTACCAACTTGAAAACATTTGCAATTTTCAGAAAGCGATTGGTGGAGGGGGCAGAAAAATGGTGTTGGCGAAGACCTTGGTGTTAAAAACCTTCTTGAATGGTTTAACCCCAAAGTAAACCAGTGCCAGGGCTCTCCTGGCACCATAACTCCATTTTGTTGAACTTGCTTTGGTGCACTGAGTGTTCCTGTAATACATTTTGGCTTTCAATATGCCACAATTCAGAATTTAGCGAATTATAGGAACGGAAACACAGAATATATCCTGCATATGGAATGTAAATCTGCAACTTTGGTTAACATTTGGAAAAAATGTTAACATAATATTCAAATTCCTTTTTATGTAAATATGGACAGGAACCTAAATAGTTGTAATAATGCACGTTTTGTTTTGTGTAGTTAAGAGATTAGAAATTCGCAGTCTTTGTAGGTAAAACAATACGGCATTCCATTCATCACTTGTTTTAAGGTTAGATAATAATCAGGCCCAACTGGTTTGCTTTTAGATATGTCTTAGCATTAGTACAAATTCTGGTTGCTTGTAATTTCATTGAGAGAGTCTTCCCCTTATTCTCCTAGAGCAGGGCTTGGCAAATCCCAGGTTTGTGTGCTTCACAGGCGTTTTAGGTTGTTTGACACCACATAGTGCCCGTGCACCTCCATAGAACAGTCACTGATCAACACCGATAGATTGCCCCCTCTACAGCTACTTAAAAGTGCCGTATATATGTAAGTGTCAGCTTTGTCAAACATGGAAAGCAGTGATCTTGAGTGGGTTAGCCCTATCTGTTTAGAAATTAAGGGGAATGTTTGTACCTTTCCTGGTTAAATACTTTATTATTTTATTTATTTTGCACATTGATTGGATTTTGTACGCATTGTAGTTTGCACACCGGACTACAATTCTAGGCTACCATCATGCCCTGGAGCTAAAAGGTGTAGTGCCTTATTGGATGTCTTGTGTTGGTTTGTTTTTATATAAAGTATTTGCAGTGCTATGTATGGTGTAACACTAATCCTAGGGTGGTTGGTCCCTGACTTGGGACACAAACCGTTACTCAGTTCGTTACTATCCATCTGAAGAACCCTCAGGAACTGAAACCACCAACAACACTGCTTGAATAGCTGTGTAGCTACATAAAGAGTAGCATCGCTTTTCTTTTAGGAACCTGCTTCCATCAGGTAGATACTTTATGGGGTGGGAAGAAATATGGCTTTATTCTAGAAAACACAGTGTATTTGTACATATTCAAACCGTAAACACACATCAACCAATCACATACATCCTTCAGATATTCTCTATTTGATAGTTCATTGTGTGCAAGTTGTGTTTTTTGATTGTCCTTCCCGGCATCAAGATTGATTTAATTTTGATTTATAGCCACAAGGCTATTTTAGTTTTTACCAGGTGTCCGTGATATCACAGACTGCAAGAGGTGGTCAGTATTACAGGTACACTAAAACTTCTTGGGATGGCGCTTTTTGTAAGGCAAGTAGACCACCTCAGGGCATTAACAAAATCAGTCTTGCATCAATACAACCGTGTGGAATTCAGTTTTATCTTGGAGCTGCAGTGTTAATCGTGAAAGTGTTAATGAATGCCTGGTCTGCCCAGAACAAGGAATTGCTATCACACATGGCATATCAGTATCTGATCTTTAAGGTTCAGATTGCGGCAGTGCAATGGTACATTACTCATCCCTCTAAAGCAGGGCTGGCCAATAGGTAGACACCAGATGTTGCGGAACTACAGCTGCCATGGTGCTTTTCCAGCATTTACAATAGCAAAGCATCATGGAGGTTTCAGTTCTGCAGCATCTGGGGATTTACCTACCTCTGAACTAAAGGGGTAACAGAAAATATACGTAGCAATTTAAATCGGACATTCTGCATAGTTCAGAGAGGCTGCCAGGTGAGGTGACAATGTGTTTCAAGGAACATTCCAAGCATCATAACTGGTACAGCTTACCATAGTTATGGTTCCTGCCAATCATATTTGAGCAATGCAATGGTGCCTGGAGTGTTCTTTTTAAATATATCTTTGTCAGCCTTTGACTGGCCTTGCACTTGATGTGAAAGGATTGTATTGTCTGCCAATTTGAATGTTATGCATTTGTCCCTGCATATGTATAATTATAACAAAATTATATCTGAGAAGGTTTATATTTGTAAATGCGTTCAGTGTTTTATTCATATTTTACAAGCCTGCATTTGTCTTCCATGCAGCATCCATTTAGCAAACTTTGTAAGCCACAGAAGTGGGCTGTTTTGTGATTTAGCATATTTCTGCCTTATTGGTTCTTTAGAAACACTGCAAGTAAGCTTGAAGTTATCCTATCTATTAAGATGGATATTGAATCCTCTAGCAATAATACACAAACCCCAATGCATTTTGAGAATAGTTTTTCATTTTAGAGTATTGTTTGGGTAGTACTTTTTTTATTTTGGCAGATGGAGAACCTTTACCTTATTTCTGAACTGTTGAAAGCCTAAAGGGGCACAAAACCTTGTTTACGTTGCGTCCTTTATTTATTTTTTTTAAATTCTTTTTTGACTCCCGTTTTTTTTTAGATAAAGAAACTGATGTGCAAGCCACCTGAGCAGAAACCTGCCAGTTCAATTAATGGCAAATCTTGACTGTAGTTTATCTTGTATAAAATACTTGTGGGGACAGTGCCATAACCTACTCTGTTCTGATAATTGTAGTTGACAGTATGTTTTGGGTATTGTTAGCAGCATGGGAATTGAGTCACTTTTGTGCACAGTACTAAAGGCCAAGCTGATTGAAGCAGTATTTAGGCACTGCCTTGAAGGATGAACGTTCCATTGGAGACCTCTGATTGTTTTCTTGCCTGTTCGACTGTGTCTCTTTAAAGAGTTACTCCATGCACAGTGACCAGGTTAGTGATTTGAAGTAGTCATTGTTCCTGGAGTCTATGTCCGGTGTTTCAGTATGAAGCGCTACACATAGTTTAAAGGGACATTGCAGGCACCAAAACAACTTCATCTAAATTAAATTATTATGGTGCTAGGAGGCCCCCTGGAGGGCCTTACTTCAAATTTACCTCCAGTGGAGAGATCAACTGGTGCTCTCAGTCAATTAATGACTCCCCATTCACTAAACTGGTTTGAGAAAGGTATGTGGTTATGATGCTTGAAGTGACTCTTTAACTTAGAAGGGGACTGGAGATCTTTATAATAACATTTTGTTTTTCCTTACATCTGTCTTCTAGGCACAGATTGTTGACCTGAAATCAGAACTGACGGAAACCCAGGCAGAAAAAGTGGTTTTGGATAAAGAGGTTCACGATCAGCTTCTACAACTGCATGCTGTGCAGCTTCAACTACATGCCAAGACTGGCCAGAGTGTGGACTCCGGGGCCATTAAGGCCAAATTGGTGAGCAAGAAACCATAAATATGTTTTACTGTTAAACTACAGTTCCCTGTTTACGTGATTGGCCAGACAGCTGTGTTTTATGTAGGCAACAATTCTACAAAATTAGTAATGACTAATTTTTGGTGCTACCACGAAGTTTGGCCAGCTCAACGTTGATGCAAAGGGTTGCATTAAACGTCAAACAAAATATTTCAAAATGAAAATTCAGGGGTGTGGAATTTAAGAAAACAACAAAACAAGACTAATTGTCCAAGGGACTGAAGTGGTAGCTCAATCTACTTGTCAGTCATGTTAAAGGGATTCGATAGTGCCAGGAAAACAATGCTGTTTCTTGGCACCGTAGAATCCTACAGTGCCCTCCCTCATGCTCCCCTCCCGTGGCTCTGAAAAGGCTAAAACCCCATCAGTCACTTATCTATCTAAATCCAGTGCAGATGTCCTTTGACGCTTGGATGAGGCTCCGCCGACGGTAGCTGGCAGGGGAGACCTAATACACATGCTCACATTAGGATTTCACCCTTATTAAAATATTTTAAGCTTTCCTATGGGGTGGGGGGGAATCTGATGCTGGAGGTCCTCATGCAAAGCGTGAGGACATCCAGCGTCCAATACTGGACCAAGGTCCGTTTCAATTCAGGAAGTCCTCTTTAGTGGCTTTCTGGGTAGACGGACACAAGAGGTTGAGTTAACTCTCAGAGGTAATGTGACGAAATCCACTTCGCCACTGGTTTTTGGAGGGGCCTGTTTGCCAGCCTCCTACCCTGGGACTATGGGCCCTGTGATAACCCATGTTCAAAAGTACTGTTTCTACCCCTTGGACTTTTAACTGGAACATATTCAAACATGTGACGGCGGCCATCTTAAATTGTCCAGCGGTGTTTTGTTGTCTTGTGTATTGAACTGTTTTGGGCATGGGACCATGTGCATGGTGGGGCAAAAATAAGACTTCCAGGAAATTCCTGAACCCCTGAACCGATCTGGGTGATTTTTGGATATGATGTTCACCCAGATCGGGGCTATCGGGGATGTGACTGTGACTTTGACTTTGTGGGGATATGTTGTATTTTGGAGTACTTTTTGGGGTTTGTAAAAATGTATGTTTTTTTTCTGTTTAGAGTTAATTGAGTTAGCCCATTGTCTTTGTTAATTGTATCACAGGCAGAGGGGAGGGATTGTGTGCTGTAAGTGGGAGTGTCGGACATTGTTGTATTCTGATTGGTTTGTGTCCTTTGTGTGCCTGTGTTCCATCAGGTCCAGGGGATGTTCCTCTGGCCTGAGGAACTGTATATAAGCAAACCTGTACCAATAAAGCCTCAGACTTGTTCTACCCTTCATGAAGTCTTGGCTCATGTTTGGGGGATTGGAGAACCACACTCTGGGGATTGCTATAAATCAATATACTCCCCAGAGTATAATCACCAGCTCTTGTAAGAGCTGTTCCTGCTCTCTGGATTACAAGAGAGGTCTACCTACTGGAAGCTGGATCCTGGTCTTGGGTCCAGAGTGGGTGGAAGACAGCGAGACCCCAACCAAGCTGCGGCGGTTTGTTGGGGTCTGCGGTAGTTATGGTGTCTAGTGGAGTGCTTGGAGCCCTCAGGAAGCAATAGTAGCATCCGTCGGGGTGCCAGGCCATCCGTTACAGGTAATTATTGCAATTTCTCAGAAACTGCAATAATTAGTACTGTAGGGTAAAGGGACATGGGACATTGCACCCAGACCACTTCAATGAGCTGAGCAGTGTCCCTTTAATCTACTTGCCTGACACCAAATAATATCAATTACAAATATTGTGGGCCCTTTCTGTGGACATTGACAGTGCTATTTTCTAAACTAATTTTCACAAATTAAATCTAAATTGAACAATGAAGCGAAAATAGCAGATCTAGAATCTAGCAATTTCTGTAACTTTGAATAGTTAGAGCAAGGGTATTTTTGCCTCAACTTTGCCATTTGTATTTTTTTAGCCAAAATTCAAATTTTTGTGAATTATCTGGATTATAGTTTCTTCCCTTTGTCTTGGTGATTGTGTGTTGTGTGTGTGGTGGGTCTGGTTTTAAAGTGATCTGACTCAGATTTTTATTGTCTACAATTTGAGTGTTTTATGCATACAGGAGTGATGCTTATTATATAAACAAATGTAAATAATAATATAACACATGTATAGGTATGTATACATTATATCAAAGTATATATTGCTGTTTGTTTTATCAAACATTGTCCTCACTAACCTACACACACTGCAACACACAATCCCTGAACCTCTGGCACATGTATTCAAAAACACACACTGACGCGCACACACACACACTCCATACTTGCATACTGAGTCGTTTACACACAAACTATTTCTGACCCACATACAATACAGTCCCATTCCATTTTACTCATCAGCAGCAGCCTTTACGGCCCAGCAGTCTGTCTGCAGCTTTTACTCTTCTCTCCTTGCGCTATGTGCAGGCTGCTGGGATGTAACCTCATCCTGTATCCCAGTGGCAACAAACTCTCAGGAGCTTCTGCTCTCTCACCTTCTTATGCCTGGCATAATGGCAGGCAGTGGCAGACAGTCCTTCCACCGTATAGCACTTTGTGCAGCTCTGACACAGGAAGCACCTCTAGTGGCCATCTGAGTGACTGCCACTGGAGGTGTCCCTAGGGAACAATGTAAGCATTACCTTTTCTGAAAAAACATATATACTCACCAGGAAAACATCTGCTCCTAGTTTGATGGCTTACTGTTCCTCTGGTGCACTCTTTGCCTGTACTTTTTTTTTTTTTATGCTTCTTTATTGATTATGTGCATTTTTATTTTGCTAATCATCCAGTTTCCCTCCTTTAATGGAGCTTTCTAACTATTGCTTTTCTAACTAGACATTTTTCTATTCTTACTTTAAGTCTGTCCCTTCTGTGGAATTTATGGTGAGTACATTATTTCCTGTCAATTGTAAAATGCAGCACTAACTCATTTGGTGTTTGATTGCTTATTTTAATTAGTGTTCCTTTTCTTTTTTTTTTTGTCCCTTTTCATAGATATTTATTTAAGTCCATAGAATGTATGCAGTTTGCTTGCTATGAGTTTGAAGAGGGAACTAAAACTGCATGTTTGAAGTTGGAACTGTGTTGCTCTGTGTGTGTGACTTTTATTACATTTGTGCGCTTTCTAACTTTTGTTGGACATATTCTTACACTGTATTTTATTTTTGGAAACCTCACAGGGGTGTGGAAAGGAAAACAAATCTACTTGTCAAAAGGTCTAAAGTAGTAGCCAAATCTTACTTGACCAGTAACAAAATAATTTCAATTACAAAGATTGAGACCCCTGCCAAATGCCCTGGACTTTGACATGGCTATTTGCTAAATTTGAATGTTAACAAATTCTAATCTGAAAGGAAAAATGGATGAAGAAATGGCTAAGCTGGAAAACGTATCTAACTCCACTAGTCATCATAGTCACACTGACTATTACCTGGGACAGATGCACTATATCGATAGGAATACAGGTTTGTATTCCCAACTCTATAGTGTTTCTTTAAAGGGCTTCAGTTCTATAATATTACCTTATATTCTTCTGTATTATCCATAGCATAATAATTTAGACAACTGAACAATATAAGCTCTCAAAAAAAATGTAATACAACCTATTTTGTAGACAGACTAAATGTAATAAGTGATGACCCACTTCAGTGCCAAGTTATCCTGGCACTGGGTGTGCAGACATTTTGTGGTTTTAGTCAACGCCTTCCTCCATTATGGCAAATCAGATTTGTTCAAAATCTCAATAAAGAAAAGTGAATGTAAAGTGCAACATATATGGTACTGTAAACCTTAAAAATGAGTGTAATGCTTATTGTATGGGAAATAAAAACAAAAATAAATTCTAAAAGGCCAATAAAAGTAAATTTGTCTGGAACGTGTATGCTAAGCCTGAGACAATTATAGCTTTCCAGACACCATAAACACTACAGCATTGAGGCAGGGAGCAGTGGCTAGTGAACCCTATATAAGAAGTCAGGCCATTATGAACCCTAGTGAACCCTATATAAGAAGTCAGGCCATTGTGACCCTATATAAGAAGTCAGGCCATTGTGACCCTATATAAGAAGTCAGGCCATTGTGAGCCCTATATAAGAAGTCAGGCCATTGTGAGCCCTATATAAGAAGTCAGGCCATTGTGAGCCCTATATAAGAAGTCAGGCCATTGTGAGCCCTATATAAGAAGTCAGGGTTTGACTACTTTAATTGAAGGGGTCATAACCACTACAGCACGTGTTCCTTTAAATTTTTGGTCTTTTTCACTTGGAATCAGCCTACTCTAGATGGCATATCTTTTTAACTGTCTGAAAATAAGATGTTTTAATTATTTGGCATGATACTGGGTTTGGATATGACAGACGTAGTGTTTATATGTAGTATGCTTATATGATTTGACTTTTTATCATAGGAAAAAGAACTTGAGGCCAATAAGAAAGAAAAGGTGAAGGAAGCGCAGCTGGAAGCAGAAGTGAAATTACTCCGAAAGGAAAATGAATCTCTCCGGCGGCACATTGCAGTCCTCCAGGCAGAGGTCTATGGCGCTAGACTTGCTGCTAAATATTTGGATAAGGAGCTTGCTGGAAGGTGAGTGCAACAAAACGAACATTTTGATGACTGTTGGTTAAGGTATTCTGCATGATCTAACTTACCAGTCCTCTGAAAAAATAGCTGTAATATGTAAGCTGTCCTCTTGAAACATCGAGCAAATTTCCACTGATCTATGTAAGTTTCCATTGCTTGGAATTTTGATGTTTGAAGCAATTTTCATTTGAATATTTGTCTTTATAGTAATGCTTTTAAACTCTTCACATATCCAAAGTATACTCAACGGCTTCCATTTTACTTCTCTTCCTATTGGCTGCACATTTCATGCAGATTTTATATAATAGAAGGCAGAAATGTACTTGTAATTCTGTCTCCACACTTGTACCTGCAAAAGGAGAATCTGCAACATATTAATTATTAGCGTAGTGAAATGTTATCAAAATTGATATTTGCCAGAGAAATTTCATTGAAGTGGAAACATGCATGAAATGTCCTTTGGGGGGTCGCTTCTGCTCTCCACCTATCTCAGTTTCTCTGCATTGAGTGCATGCCGAGGAATTGAGAGGCAGATAGGAGAACAAAGCAGGTTTAGTTGGGTATTTCTCTATGCATTTACTAGCACAGTGTATAAATGGTGTTTGAATGTCACTATGGGCATGACAGGTTCCCTTTAATCAGGTTAGGCAGATGTTATATTCACTGTTACTCAGTGGGTTATATTTTATTTCAAATGTCAAGGGTGCAGCAGATTCAGCTACTTGGACGGGATATGAAAGGTCCTGCACATGATAAACTGTGGAATCAACTTGAGGCTGAAATCCACCTTCATCGACACAAGACTGTTATTCGAGCCTGTCGGGGGCGAAATGATCTAAAACGTCCATTGCCAGCTCCTCCAGGACATGTAAGTTACCTTTTAGAAATCCACCTATTTTTATGAGGTGTGAGAAATGTAATCCTGTAGCTACAGGATGTTTGTGCACCTGCACTCATTTTATGTTTTTCATACAACATTTATGAAGGACCAACTAACACAAATACACCTGTTCTTACTTCACAGTACTACAATAACTTAAAATGTAGCGCAGTCATAGGAAATAGTAAAGAAGTCATTACTACCATCTTTATGTCAGAAGGACTAAACAACCAAGTTTGGGAGATATGTTTGTCACATACTAGTCTCAATCACTAGACCATACAAATCTGTAATATGACATCATAACAACTGGTAATACCTATATGAACTTCTCCTGATGTGTATTTTTTAATAATATTTATTTTTCATATATTTTATACTTTTTTGTCCAATAAACTGGTTTTTATTTCTATCCAGTTTCAGAGCCATTGCTTTTTATCTACCAATATTTTAGCCTACAGTTCCTAATACTGTATTGCTACAATATTACATTTTTTCTATGTGCATCCTTACAAGATACTAAGTATATCATATATCATTTGGTACAAGTGCCAGTCATTCTGCTTTATAGCAGTAATAGAGACACTTGCACTGCACATTTTTGTTCCAGACATATTTTTACATTTTTACCTATTTATTATCCTTTATTTATTATCTACCTATCTGATTATATTCATTTATCCTGCTTTTACTTTCTCTTGTGAAATTCAGTTCTCTCTTAAAGGCACAGCACCACTTTATTCATATCCTCTCTTGTATCCAGGCATATACTCATTTTTAGCCATATTCTAGGTCAGCTCCTGGTATTTATAGACATTATTGGTGTCTCTCCTTAGCAAGTCTTTTTTATAGGTTTTAGTGGATCCCTATTTTTTCCAGTTCTTTGAGCAGCCTAGTGCCAGTCCTACTCCTTCACTCCTGGGTAACACATTAGGTGTACCAGTATCCAACATTTCATATAAATATGTAACCTGGGTTTGGGTACTTCCTGCTTCATTAACACTTTCATTACCACTCTATTGACTTAGACTGTCTGTGAAGATTCAAGTTTCTGGTCTATAGCTAAGCCACTTCTACTCTGTCACATTTCATTGGATAATTGAGTATAGTTATAGGAACCATTCTCACCCATGCCATGTTATTTAGTGCCTAGAACAAATACAATGATTCCCTGAAAGGTTATTGCATATTGATAGCTGCAAATTAGTTATTGTATTTCTCTGTATGATTTAATGAAAAGCTTTATTGCAGATGTTCTGATAGTGATGAAAAACATGTTGGGGTGACATTAGTAAGCATTCTCCTCCTTACTAAATTTACACCAGACTCTGCTTAGTCACAGGCTATTGCAGAAAATAAAAGTAATGATCAATAATTGGAAGGACTTGCATCTTACTTTCTATCCCACTGTTGGGTATCTGTGAACACAATGAGCAAAATCTTTCAGAGCCTACTCATTAATGACAACATTGTATATCTTGCAAAGTTTTGCAAAGTCTTGCAATGGGGCAGGGGGACAGAGGAGGGGAGGGGGGGGGATTGATGACCTGAGTGATAATGCATAAATCTATGTATTTGTGGAAGAAGTCAGTTTTTGCGTAATTCTGAGTGTCTATGAATAAAACCACCTTGTTGATTGATTTATTTTCTAAAGACACAATCTTTGTAAAACAGACATGTCTTAGTGAACCTTTGGGTAAGATTGTGATTTAAATGCCAACGGAATAAAAAAATACAGAATTGCATCTGGTTTTGAAGTTTTGAAAGATTTTGGCAATGTAGCTCATCCTACAACTGCCTTGATTATCACACCTTCCACTGTTTGATTCTGTTTGGTTATGTATGCCTTCACCTTGATAATATACATCTAAATGTGACACTATGTAAATGGCCTCAAACCCCACACTTTATTACTTCCATGATCCATGTAACATTCTTGGGGCCCCATGAAAATTTGTGCTGTGATGCATGTTACCTGCTCATTGTACTGAGAGGCACCAGTAAACACATTATCTGCTTCCTGGTTGCCTTTGCTATTCTTTGATCGGCCTCCCACTCCTCTACATAGTGCAAGTTGCCATCTGGTCATATAAAATGTTTGTAGTTGCTCAGTGCTTTTATGTGTAGTGAGGGGAAAAGCCGTTTTACTGCTGGTGAGGCAGACTTTCACTGGATTTTGTGTTTTATTTCCTGCTGTGCTTTTACAACAGAAAAATAGAGATTTACTAATTCATGAGTGATTAGGTGTTTTTCAGTTTAGCCTGTTATCTGTACGATCTGCACCCAGGACAGTATTTATGTTTCTGAAATCTTTTTCCTTATTCTGGCCATGCAAAGTGTTAATGTGTGTTTGATTCAGCAGGATCCAGAGTGCTTAAAGAAAAGCCAAGGAGTTGGTCCAATTAGAAAAGTTATCCTGGTTAAAGAGGACCACGAGGGACTTGGCATATCGATCACGGTAATTGCAAATCTGTTAGGATATTTTACATGTAAAGACATTTTATGCTGTATATCATTTTTGGAATGAAATTAAAGCTTTTCTTTCAACAGAAATATTTAAAGTATCTGCGTAAACCTTTAATAGGGATACAAATGATGTACAAGGTATTGATTTGCTGACCCATACCTAGAGAGAGAGAGATATATATATATATATATGACTTTTGCAATTCCAATCTCTCTTCCCAGTGTAAAAGGGTCTCCTTCATACTACAAATGCCTAAAGTAAAGAGTTTTACTGCAAAAGCTCCTCTGGCATTTGGCTTTTTATGACAAATATAATGTACCCAGTTCCATTGGAACCAACTGCAAATAGCAGGAGGACCCAGTTTTAATTCCTGACTCAGAACTTAGTAATCAGAAAGTATAGATTACACTTATTGTTTATCTAAACTGTACATTGCAAGCATACTCAACATGTGTATACGGAGTCTGATGGCGCTATATAAATAATAAAATATTAATAATGTGTAAAGCTTGTTGGCACCCCTTCTAATTCTGAACAATCTCAAGCATGCTCATTGCTGACAGGTGTATAGAATTAAGCACAGACATGCATTTTCACATATACAAATGATGACATTATAATTGAACTACTAAAGAGCTCAGAGGCTTTCAGCATTTCATCCTTGTCAGACTTGGAATGCCTGAGCTATAATACCACTTAAATTCTGCCCCGAGAAATACTACACTGCCGCAATGTACCTGTCAGGATTACTAGTTGATCCAGCAGAAATAGTATCACAGCTAGGACTAAGGATAACATCTCACCAGACCTTAGAATGGCAGGACTTAACGTACCCAAGAATAGTCAAAATACTTGCTGAGGTCAGGGATACAGAATGAGAAACGACGACAAGGGAAAGCCAAAAGTCAAGGATACCAGAAATCAGGGAAGTCAAAATTAAGCCAAAGTCAAATACCAGAAATAATACGATCAGGAACACTCTTGGATAACCAGCAAAGGGAAACCACGACAGGGCACTGATTAATAGGTAATTTGGGTTTAACTAACCCTCCTAAAAGCTTTAATTGGCTGTATGTGGCTTCTGACCCAAAACGTGCGGGCACGTCTATGATGTGACGTCGAACACACATAAGCGCCATCTTTAATGTGGGCAAAGGCTATTTCCCCTTCAAAACCGGAGCAGCTGCGGCTGGCGTCTCCATGGACGCCGCACACGCTGGAGACCGGGACGGAAGGAGGTCGGGTAGTGGTTTGTCGCGAGCAAGGTATGTATATATTACTTCTGTAGGCGTGACCGCTGAGTTTCCGTGCAGCCACGCTGACAGAATCCTGCGGCACCGTGACAGTACCTACATGTAGGGGAAATACAAATTTAAAACATAAGTAAATTTGCTCCTCACTCACATTCTTCTTATCTGTCTTTGATGTTTGTCAGGGTGGGAAGGAGCACGGAGTTCCAATTTTAATCTCAGAAATCCACCCAGCTCAGCCAGCAGACCGCTGTGGTGGGCTGCATGTTGGAGACGCCATCTTGGCTGTGAATGGAATCAACTTAAGAGATGCCAAGCATAAAGAAGCCGTTACCATTCTTTCACAGCAGGTACAATTCATTCTGTGCTGATCTGATACCTTAAATGCTCCACTATAGAAACACATTTCATGAAAGCATCTTATTCTTAGTATTTCTTTTCAGCAAACATCCAGTTTTACAAGTAAAAGATATTTCTCAATTCTGTGGGTTGTTTTTTTGTCTTTTAAATCTTGGCAGTTTACACCTAAACATTTTTGTGCTTTCCTTTTCTTCACAATGACCCATAATTTAACATTCACTGGAGTAAAACAAAATTTTAAAAGGGCAGTGGTTTCTGTACATTTACTACACTGCTCTACACGTGAACAGACAAGCAGCAATTTAAAAGTCTCTTCAGTTTTTATTTTTTTATTTTGAATCTCTGAAAACTATTATGCTTCTTGTCTATGTCAATGAAGCTAATTGTGTGTCTATATCTAAAACTGAAAAGTAAATAAGGAGAACATTTTCCACTCTTCCAAAAAAAAAAAAATAGAAAAGAGCACTGGTGTTATCTGCTTTATCATGTGGTTAGTTGATATTTGTGGGCAAAAAATATATTAACTCTTTGAGGATGGAGGTAATGTCCAACTTTTGAATCAAAACAAAACCTAGAATTTGTGTGGTTTGTTCCACTGTAATTTAAAGGACCACTATAGTGCCTGGAAAACATACTCGTTTTCCTGGCACTATAGGGTCTCTAGGTCCCCCCCATCCTTAGGGTCCCCCTCCCGCCAGGCTCTAGGGTGAGTAAGGGGTTAATCCCATACCTTTTCTCCACCGCAGGGCTCCCTCGGCGGTGGGGACTCTCCGCCTCCTTTCACAGTCATCGTCTGAATGCGCGTGCGTGGCAAGAGCCTCGCACGCATTCAGTCAGTCCATAGGAAAGCATTCTCAATGCTTTCCTATGGACGCTGGCGTCTTCTCACTGTGGGAAGCGCCTCTAGCGGCTGTCAATGGGACAGCCACTAGAGGCTGGATTAACCCATAGGTAAACATAGCAGTTTCTCTGAAACTGCTATGTTTACAGCAGAAAGGGTTAATCCTAGATGGACTTGGCACCTAGACCACTTCATTAAGCTGAAGTGGTCTGGGTGCCTATAGTGGTCCTTTACGGGTATCTCTTGAAGTGCCCCCATATATATTGTATATTGTTCTTTAAAGGACAGAAGGGGCTTTCTTGGAATATCCTGTATTTATCCCTAACACAATATATCATGAATACAATTTTAAAAATGGGGGGGGGGGGGAGAAACCTTTTTACTTTTATCACATTTTACACATAATTATTTTATACAGCAAGTGCAACTGAAGAAAAAGATCTCAAAATAGATTTGCAGAACAGTACTGGCTGTTAAATGTCTCATATGTTGACTGTCTAAATTCATTTTTGGTAGTTAAAAAGTAGCATTAATTAACCCTGACTCGCACCGTAGAAAGCGCTCTCTGCTTGGTGATTGCAGATTGATGGGGAGAGTATTCTGTCCATGCTCATCGCAATATGATTGGTGTGGGGTAGCTTGAAAAGCTTGAGGACATGCAGAGAAACCTGGTTAAGAACTTTTTTCTTTTTATGAAGCATAATTTTGTACACTAAGGGCCGCAGGACAGTGGTCACGCACCCCCACTGTACAGGATCTGTAGTCTCCTACCAGTGCCTTGTTGTTGGGCATATTTAAAATGATATTTAAGAGTAAGAACATGACCAATGTTTATTTGGCAGAGATTTTGTTATGAAGGCAGATGAGATGCCTTGGCGTAATTCATATATCTTTAGAACCTTTATTTTGTAGCATCTCAAGCAAGCTCTTTACAAACGAGATGGACAGATTTTCCTATTTAAAGGGTGAGTCTGCTGCTCACCTCACCACCATTCACAAACTGTTCTGCATGTGAGGAGAGAGCAAGGGATATGAGGCCATCTCCTGTCCCCACCTCTCATCCTTCACACAGTGCCGATCTGTAAAGTTGTGACCAGGCCTCCTATAATTGCACAGAGAAGAGATTGGGGGCACGCCCGAGAGATGCATTATGCAAGAAAGGTGCTGCCGCAGTGACCAAAATTAATACAGAAAAAAATATAGTTTCTAATAGACTTTAGAAGTCTGAGTGTGCTGTAACTATATATTTTTTTCAGGTTTCCTATAATGGCCTGATGTCCACACTTTTGTTTGCTGACTGTGCTGGTGCAATTTACATTGGAGACAGGTGTGCATGCTTGATTGTCAGTACACACAATTTTGCAGATTTAGGGCTACGTGACAGTGGTCATGCATTCATGCACCGGAGGTTGTGTACCCTTTTTAATAAAAGGATTTTAAGGTTTTCTTTATTTTAAATTCCACTAGTTTTCAAATTTCCTTTTCTTAGACTGCCAAATTTGCAGCGGTAGAAAAAAAATTCCACTACTTTTGTGTCTAATAATAAAAATAAATAATAAATCTATTGTTGCCAAAAAAAATAATCTGAGCTATTAAATTAGAAAATTTCTAGAAAGAAAACTCTCATTCCTATATTTGTTCCATTACCTCCAATGATGCCTTAAAGGACCACTCTAGGCACCCAGACCACTTCAGCTTAATGAAGTAGTCTGGGTGCCAGGTCCAGCTAGGGTTAACCCATTTTTTCATAAACATAGCAGTTTCAGAGAAACTGCTATGTTTATGAATGGGTTAAGCCTTCCCCTATTTCCTCTAGCGGCTGTCTCATTGACAGCCGCTAGAGGCGCTTGCGTGCTTCTCACTGTGATTTTCAGTGAGAGCATGCCAGCGTCCATAGGAAAGCATTATGAATGCTTTCCTATGAGACAGGTTGAATGTGCGCGTTCGGCCGACGGGGAGGAGGATCGGAGGAGGAGAGCTCTCCGCCCAGCGCTGGAAAAAGGTAAGTTTTATTTAACCCCTTTCCCCTTTCCAGAGCCGGGCGGGAGGGGGACCATGAGGGTGGGGGCACCCTCAGGGAACTATAGTGCCAGGAAAACAAGTATGTTTTCCTGGCACTATAGTGGTCCTTCAACTAATCCTTACTGTTAATAAGCTCTGGGTTAATTGGAATGTGAGATGTGCTTCACAGACCTACTACTTGAGCAGAATCCTAAAACCGTAGAGATTTGGTATTTGATTTTCTAAAAACCTTTTTTCTTTCAGAGGGGGGAAATTGAATTTGAAGTAGTGTATGTTGCTCCAGAAATTGATTCAGATGATGAAAACGTAGAATATGAAGATGAGAGTGGACACCGCTATCGTTTGTACCTTGATGAGTTGGAAGGTGGAGGAAATGGTCCTGGAGCCAGTAATAAAGACGGAAGTGGTGATGCCAAGCCTCTGCAAGGTATGATCTGCTTATTACGTGATACACTACAACAGGTTTGTACTTCAGCCTCTGGGAACTATAATGAATTTGAAGATCTAATGAAAGGGCACATGATCTATATTTTGCCATTGAGTGTTATAACTTTTCACATCCCTATTGTTAAAGAGAAGATTAATTAAAATTAGGTATGTACTATAGGCACCATAATCACTTCAGCTTCTCGTAGGATTGTGATGCCTGTGTCCTGGTTTCAAGCAATCTTACAAACTAAAAAACCATTCCCTAGCACTTCTGTTTGAGACATCATATGAGGAAGTTTCACATAATCTGTGAACTTGTGCATGTTAATGGACTAATTGGTGTGCTAAGGGAACCTTGATTTGGGGGAGAGGAGGTTGTAACCCTCAACAGTAAGCAAAACTTCAAAATAAACACAGTAATGTCTAAATGAGCTCTGAAAGCCCATTAGACACAAAAAGGTCCCATATAATTGATAGAAGGAGAATTTTTTTTTAACCCCTTAAGGACACATGACATGTCATGATTCCCTTTTATTCCAGAAGTTTGGTCCTTAAGGGGTTAAAGAAAAGCACAACTTTATTGCAAAGAAAAATTTAAATGTCTAAAAGGAAAATAAATGAAAAAACACCCTAAATGGATAAAAAGCTAAAGGGGAGGAGAGGGAGGTGAATCTCAAACCTGTCTCAATAGTACTTCTAATGCAGCAAAGTTTCTCTAACAAGCAACCAAAGCTACCCTGAGAAATCCATAGAACCCAGTGCCACACTTGTAATAGTAGACAAAAGTTGCAGAAAGTAACAGATGTATACAAGGGACTATTCAGGGTAAGTAATAACTTTGTTACAGAATCAAAGCTTAGTAAAACTATATAGAAAAGGCTATATTATGAAACAGCCTTATTGGCCAAAGTCTATAAATATGGATGTATGAACAAAGTAATCGCCAACGCCAAAAAAACTACGTCCCAATCATTCGATCTTACTAGCCAGAGTCTCCATCCAGATGACACTGGTTCCCTGTGATGCACAGTAATCCCTATAATAAGCTGTAGCTGTTAATAGTGCTTGGAGTAAAGGAGCCCTTAAATCACCATAACCACTATAACTTGTGGTAGTGGTTATGATACCAGGAGAGCCTTGGTGGCATTTCACAACACACCTAGGTTTGGCTGTGCCACTGAGCTTAGACCGGCCCTATTGAGATGTCTCTCTATCTCCATATAAATACTTAGTAGTTTTTAACATTACTATAGCAACTTGTTTTCTGATACTACTTTACAAAACCTCATGTTTAGGGAGTTTAAAGAAATTCCGTCGTGCTAAGAATACAAAGTTGTATTTACTCTCACGATTCCAGTGCCAATGTCCCTCTGCATTGGATCGATGCTCCGCCTCTTCTGACGAGATCCGGCAGGACCTAATTCACATGCTTTCATATGGGGATTTCACTTGCAGTGGAGGTCCTCATGCAGACCGTGAGGATGTCCAGCGTAATTTAGGGGACTTGCAGGTAAACTCCTGCAAGTGTCTGTACAGGCTCTGGTAGACAGCTACTAGAGGCTTAGTCCTGTAAAACATTGCAGATTGTAAGGGGAACAGGGACTCTGCACTCAGACCACTTTAATGAGGTGAAGTGGTGTGTGCCTATAGTGTCCCTTTAAATTGGAACCATAGACAAACTTCGGTAGCCTCCATGGGGGATTGAAAGTAAAAGATACAGGGCAACTTGCTTGATTTGGATAATGTATATTTCCTTTAGCAATATCAAAACCTGGCTTTAGATTTTAGAAATATGTAGTATTAAATCTGCAGAGGTACAGTCATTACACAGTTCCCTTTTCTCGCTCCTGATTATGTTCATCAAACTTCATTAACGCCCACTCTTCTATAACTTTTCTTTTTTTATTCTTCAAGTCCCTGCACACTATAGAATTGCTGCTAATCGCAACCGTTTCTAATACTATTTAACAGCACCAGACAGTAACACAATTGTGATGACCAATTTATGTTTATATAACATCAACTTTTTTTAATATTCCTTCACGCTTTTTTGTTAAAATAGAATTTTTTTAAAATTCTTAATGTGACACCTATACTTTTTTTTTTTGTTTTGTTTTTTTTTTTTTGTGTGTTTTTATTTTTTATCTTTATTTAAACCTGTGGTTTATTTTAATATCCTTTTTCTGTTTTGTTTTTTTAGTATTTGACCAAAAGCCTCATCTTGATGGTCATGAAAATGGTGACTTGGAGCCTACTAGTGATTCTCTCTCAGGGGACAACGCTTCCAAGCGAACATATTCAACTGAATCCTTATCCTAAAGTTGACCTCTTGCATCTTTATCAGATGAGGCCAATACGGACTCTAGTGGAGTGAGGCTAACTGACACGGACATGTCTCATTCAAGGAAGAACGCTTGCTTGTTGTCTCTTGTAGGTTCCTCAGGGTTTGGCTGACTAATGTGGGAAGACTTGTCTCATTCATCCACTATGAGCCATAATTAATGCAGTTGCATGTTTCTAATTTTTATTTTTTTTATTTTGTAAGCACCAAAGCACATGTTGTTTTCAGGTGTAACATCCATCCCCCCCTTCCCACTCCCTGCAAATTATTTTTAACACATTTTAATCTTCTATATGAACTGGACTTTTGAGCATTGTTATAAGGGTTTACAGCACCAGTGTGAAAATTTAGACTTGAATGGCAGAATTATTTACACCAAAAAAATGTATTTCATGTTACTGTGATCGATGTTGATTGTGTATTTTTAATGAAGTAAAGTGTTAACTTGGCCAAGCACAATCAAGTTAGGGTGGAATGTTATTCAATGCCTGTTTTATGCAGTAGACAAGGTTATTTCACTTAGTGATTTTTATATACAATTCATATACAACCCCCTCCGCCCACCATTGCCCTCACCTGCAGTGTAGGTGAATAAAAAGGGAAACAAAACTTTTCAGAATGATTTATAGACATTTCATTACATTTCAGTTCACATTGAAGATCGGATGTAGTTTAGTTTATGGTCTTCTTAAAACCATGGTAATGCAAACATGTGAGTAATCATTTAATCAGTTCTGTTATTAGAGGTACCTTTCACCATTTTGTTTTGGGTTTTCTCCCCCTTCGCTTTTTAGAAAGTGGTATTACTTCCTGTAGTTTATCATAACGGAGCCTACAAATAGGAATATTGTAATTCTGTGTGTCTTGATCAGCATGTAATGCCTGCTTACCACCAGACTGTTATATAAAACCAAAATATCAAAGGAGAACTATTGTTATCAGAAAGCAGGTGGAACGCCTGTTCTGTAGACAAATCTCTATGGAGTTATTCAGTACGTGGAACTGAGCATTTTAGGCAAAGTAACCAATTTTTTATGGGAAATAAAAATCTCCAGCTTTGGCCTATAATGTTAGTCCTTCACAATTCCTGTTCTAGTGAATAACCTTACAGGGACACTCCAGGCCCCTAAAGCACTTTAACTTTCAAAAATCTTATTATTTTTTATTTTTTTCTCATTTTACAAAAAGTACAGACTTGCAGATTTCAATGGAAATTGACACTTTAATAACTTAGTCAGTATATTAACCCCATGGCTTTCAAACAGACAACATATCTTTTTACTTCCTTGTTTGGTTAGCTCAGTGGAGCTAAACTCGAGGCACCAATTGCTCAGAGCACCTGCCTTGCAAAGACTTCTCATTGATCTGCATTTGGAAGTCTGATTGGACAGACACAAACATTTGGGGAAGTATGGGAGGCATTGCAAATGCTTCAGACGAGATCTGCATTTATTGCAAGCTGTTTTTAGATCTAGCCCCAGTGAGAAAATGCATAATTAAATGCATGTACATTTGGTGTTAATCTATTAAACAGTGATTTTTTTTTTTTAATTTAATTTGGGTAGTGGAGTGTCCCTTTTAAGATTGATATCCAGACATGATCAGTCTTTTTATAGCAATGGCTGTTTCTGTCAAGTTAAGGAACATTATGTAAACCTATAACTTCTTTCCCTTTGTATTAGCTGCACTATATTTGTCTGAGGTAGCATTGAAATGTAAATAGTGACAATTGATATTTATAAATCTATACTTTTCCCTTTTGTGACTTTTTTTGGGTGTCACATTATTGTCATTATGTATCTGTTAAAGCTTTTATACTGTATATTTTATAAGTTCTATATTTTTTGTTGTTGCTTACTTCATTACCATCACTGATTCTATTACCCATGGTCATTACAAGTATGCTACACATGCTTTTAACATGTGGCAGTATTTTGGGAAGTTTGATTCAGTCTAAAGAGGCATCTCCTTGGTAGACAAATGAAAATGAGTAATCGAGAAGAGCCTGTTGCAGGGTCCATTTTACTTTGGTATAGAAGGTAGCAGATGGCCACCTATGTACTGTAGAGGGATTCTGATAAAATCCATTAAAGTTGTTTAGTGTAGATGATTGAATATTAAATATACATTGTGATGGGGGCACTATAAATCATACAGTTTGAGTTACAACAATACTGAATTAATGCACTGAAAAAGTGGTATGGGTGGAACATGCCTTAGTAAGTACCAGTGTACACGCTAAACACACATGTAATGCCTTGCTGAAACTTAACATACATGCCCCCAACTACTATGAGACTACCATTGTCTCAGTAATGCACCAGGTTTTCCCTGAAAAAGTGCTAGTGAGCAGTTACTATGGAAGACTAGGGACTTTCTCTACATGCATTTCATAGTCCAAGATTGCTTCAGTTTGGTCTTGATTCAATATATGTGGAGTTAAACATCTCTTAAGAGTTGAGCTGGAAACACGGTTCTCTGTGTAATAAAATCAATAAATACAATAAGTTTTGACATTATTTAGTGCAAGTAGAGGTATCGTGCACCTAGTTGACGCCTAAATAGTTGGAAGAAATGTGCTTAAATATTGAGTTCTACCAGTTGTACCATACATTGGCAACCCTAGTGCATTGCATCCTTTTTCCATTGGATGTAAGGACTTTCTGTATTGCACATGTTTAGTGAACACATGGTGATATGTTTGTAATGTGGGTAATGAGTACCTAGTTAAATTGGGTCCACCATTACCATTGAACAAAGAAAAATGTAAGTGGTTTTAAAAGAGGTTCTAGGTGGAAATAAGGTGAGATGGTTCAATTTTGAAAAATGTATCCTTGCAACAAATTGTATGTAAAATTAAAGAGGCATTATTTATTGTAAATTGTTTCTTCACATTATTTTTGTCAGTCATATGCAACAGATTTCAGATAAATGCCATATTTAGTAAATTTACTTTTTTTTTTTTTAACATTGTAAATAAATATACTTCTCTATTGTGTGTTTGTCATTTTGTTTTTTTTTATTTATAAAGTGGTTAATGCACCGACAGATTGCATTATTACATCTGTTTGACAATTTAGACTTTTTTTTTTTAAAGATGACATCTGCTAGACCTCACTGCCCCAACACTGCCCACCCTCACTGCCACAACACTCCCAACCCACCCACCCTCCTGACTGTATCAGAGCATCTCCAAAAAGTCTTGTGGGGTGGTCCCGGTATGCAGTGGTTAGTACCTACCCCAAAAGTGGTGTAAGCAAGAACAAGCAGTGACACATATGGGGATCGTAGGCTTGTCTGATCACACAGAAGAGCTACTATAGCTCAAATTGCTGAAATACTTTAATTCTGGCCATTATAGTATGGCTGGGTGCATATGTGTTGTTTAAGTGGGGGAAGATATGGCAGTTGAAGGCAGTGTTCTGCTGGGAAACCTTGGGTCCTGGCATTCATGTGGATGTTAAGTTGGCATGTACTACGGCCACCTACCTAGAGATTGTTGCAGACCACATACACCATGTATGGTGAGGCACTTTTAGCTTTTTTTTTTTTTTTTTAATCTTTCCTTGCTCACATGACCATATTTTTTATTTGTTTTTGCTTTTTGTTTGGATATGTATTCACCTTCCATGTTAAAATATTATGTGCCTTTAGAGATAAGGTCTAACTTAAATTTCATGCCTCCAGTTAAGCTTTTACAGCTCTAAAATAGCTTTTCTATTTATACCACGTGACATGCCGCATTAAACTTCAGTAAATAGAAAATTCAGTCTAAATGTTAATACACAACAGCTCTGACACCGGCGTGTAAACCCCAAAACCACACAAAAATACTGCTAATCCATACATACATCAGGTGGAGCATAAATTGTTGAGCAAGCTGATGGATTAAAAAACATCTGTAAAAATATTAAAGTAAAAGAGACTGTGCAATTGTGGTGGACCATCAGTGTATCGCCGTCATGGACTCCCTTTCCCAGTGTGAAGTAGCTCTGTCCAACCACTGAAGTGATTATAGCTGGTATAGCTCCCCATTCCATGTGCTCAACGACAAAGTACCGCTGCCTGTGTTCGGCAGACAAGATGGACACCACTCCAAAGAGCACTTATTTCCGGTAGTACAAATGGCGGCCTCTTGAGTTAACGACCTTCTTTAAAGTTAATGAGCCAGGGCGTGGTCTGTCTCTCGGGAGTATAAAAAATAAAAAAAAAGGAACATGAAATTCCGTTTGGTAACTGAACAGGGGGTGTATATATATGAATTTGAAAAGGAAATAATCCAAGTGATGGGGTATTCCTTCACAGCAATATTGTCCAAATAGGTAGTATACTGCTAAATAACAAAAGATATCACTCACAAACGTAGAGCCAATAAACTCATTTGGCTCAGATGGTATATGGAGATGGACAGTTTAAGAATGTCCAACTCCTCCTTTCCACTGGATCTACGTTTGTTGCTCGTCAGAGGAAATGGAGGAGGCACACCAAGATCTTACTACAAGGATCCTTTTTTTTATTACCAATATAAAAACTTCAATAAAATGTAAATAAAATAAGAGGAAATACCAGATGGTCCAGAAGTGATTCAATCATGTCCAATAAATCTGAAACGCGTTTCGCCTGCTCATTCGGGCTTCCTCTGTCGGTATGAAAGTTCCTATTTCATTGCCTCTTTTAAAAAGGCCCGCTTCCAGGCCCTTCCGGGTCCTCGTTTGGAACCCATCGTTGCAACCTATCCCGCTTCTACGTCTGGTACATGGTCCTGTCAATGCTATCGGGGTGGTTTCTGGTCTCCCTTCTTCGAATGGAACACAGCGTGCGTTCTAACACTTTCAGATGTAACTTGCTATCTTAATGGAATACATTGCGTTTCAACCACCAGGTGCAATCTGATGTTTTCCTCAAAAATATGCATCCATACATTTTCATCTCTTCATCAAAATGACACAACCTCAAAAACCCAAACAACACCAATATACAATAATCTCCACATATTTAAATATATATAAAAACATAACCCTCTGACATTAAAAAAGTGTCATAAAATCCTAATAGATCTTACTGCAAAATAAATTGTAATTATCAATGAAATAGATAATGTTTAAATAGATTATCCATATTTAAAAATGAACTAAAAATCTTGAATAAATCAAATTGAATAAGACTGTTAAAATACTAATTAAAATGAAAATGCAATAAGTATTCATTAAATTCACGCTTTATTTCTCAGTTATAAAAAAAAATGGCCAGACCACGGGGAGTAAGATAATAAAATTGTACATAAACCTAATCTCTTCTAATGTCGTCTCCCCCTTCCAATCTTTTTTTCACTTGTTTAATTGCCCAAAAGAACAGGCATTCTGCATTTTGGTTGTGAAACATCTTCAAGTAATTAGAGACACTGTGTCTCCAATCCTTACTTTATATTTCCTACATGGTCTTCAATTCTAACACTGATGTTCCTTATAGTTATTCCTGTATGCAATAGATTGCAGGGGCTTTTCAAAACATATCTAACTCCTTTTGAAAAAAATGTAAGGTGGTCCCATATCTTGAAATCTTTGTTAATCAATTATTTTATCTCTACTATATTTCTTCTGTTGCTTTTACTAGTCCTACATGCGAGACATGTTCCACATGTCACATTAAACTAACTTTTAAATCCACCTCTATATAATAAGGCGGCAGGAATTCTGTCTGTTGTTCAGTATGGTGATTGTTGTACAAGAGCGGTAATCCCTCCATGCTTTGGGAAAACATTGGATTAGCGGAGATCAATGCCACCTGTGATCTAATCCAAGAGCGTAGCAGTGCCACGGAATAGAAGGAGAGTGAATAGCTTTATTTGAACTTTGCAGAGAGGCCCACAAATCTAAAGTTGTAGGAGAACATTATGAATATAGGTTTGTACTTTTAACAGAGTGCTACTTTGACTGTTTTTTTTTTGTTTTTTTTTTAAATGGAGAAATGGTTTGCTTAGATTTGGAGGGATTGTGAATGGATCTGGTATGACCATGGCTCAAACATTTAGAAGTGGGGAGACTGTGCTCTATAGAAGGATGGGGGCTTGTGTTGTATGCTGTGCTTACTTGAGATAGAAAAAAGGTTTCAATCCGTTGAGAGTTAAGGGAACTGCTACTGCTGCAGGCGCACATAAATGCACATCCTCTGATTTGCATTTATGTTTCTCACAATGCTTTGGGTACTAGGTACCCAGGCCACCCAACTGCGCTGCTTTTGGGGTCCTGTTCCACCATCCAAATTGTGTTCCCGGAAATCCTGCATTGTGGGACATCACGAAACGGTCACCAGGCAGCACTGTGCAGGTGCTTCATTAGATATGCTCGCCCAGTGCAACAGCAATCTCTGCACGGAACTGTACATAATGTGGGCTGGCCCGTAGGCTGACATGCACCAACACTTTCAGTAGGTAGGATGTCAGCCCACTTTCCTAAAGGTATTGCTGGTGATGCCCATGGAAGCCTGCATTCCCGTTGTAATTCCATATCTCCTAAAGTTGGGAGGTATTGGTACCTGCCTAGCTTGCCTCATGGGAAATTCAGACATGGCTACATTAAGGCAAATACTACCATCTATCACTAATAAGGTAAATTGGTGGAGGGCTGAGGTTTATGATACCAAACTTAGTCTCTTACAGTGTTGTCTCCAACTGTAATCGATAATATATGCTAGAAGAATTGGATGACTTTGGCTGTGGAAGCAATGTTTGCCTGGACCATGTGCTCGTTCTAGCCTCATTAGTAAAGTTCCAGCATTTGCATCCTAGACCAGTGGTAGTCAACCTTTTTCTACCTACCGCCCACTAATGCATCTTTCTTGATGGAAAAATTTCCTTACCGCCCACCAGTTTTCGCGCAAGCGCGGAATATTTTTTAGAAAGGAGGTTGTTTTAAAAAAAAAAAAAAAATGTACGTACATTTATCTTTTTATTTCTATTTTATGCATGTTTATAATGTTTTTAACTTTATAAAGTTTAATTAGAAAAAGTAAATTGAAATTAGCTTTACTAGTGAGATCCTTGAGGCTGATGCTGCGAGACTAAATATTTGATATCTGTTTCGATTTTCGTAAGGAACAAACGAAGGTCTCCTCTTTCGGTGATATTCAGACGGTTTCTCTGTTTGCTCATAATATGATTAACAGCACTAAAGCCTGATTCTACAAGATTTGTGGTAGGGAACGGTATCAATAAATTGAACATCATTTTCCACATATTTGGATATAACGCAGGCATTTTTTTATTTTGCCAGAGTTTTTGGTATCCACCACTGCCAAAATTACATTTACTCTCTTCGTCATATTTAAGTTCTAATAGTTCTTCTTGGCAAGTTATATCAACTTCAGCAACATTTGCTGTAAAAGGATTTATCATCCAGTCATGCACCTTTAACCCCTTCAGGACGGGTGACGGACGAGGTCCGTCACACAGGGGAGACCCTTAACGACGGGTGACGGACCTCGTCCGTCACGCGGTAAAATTAACCCCGGATCGCCGCTATCGCGGCGATCGCGGGGTTAATGGTGCTCCCGGTATGCCTCTGCATTAGAGGCATACCGGGAGCACCCGGTCAAGCTGCCCAGCACATGTGCTCGCTCTGACCGCAAGTCGGAGCGAGCACATGTGCTCATGGGCGTCCGCAGGGGGGGGCAAGGGGGGGCACTTGCCCCCCCCTGGATTTTTCAGCTTGTTCTGCTTTTTTCGTGTGAGATTTAGAATGAACTGCAATACCGGCGCCGGCCAGTAGGTGGCGCTGTGTATGGAGAGAGACAGGGATAGGAAGCTACATCTTATCCCTGCTTCTCTCTGCTGATTGAAACCGCAGGGGAACAACACATGCAGCCAGAGACAGCCTACAGATCAGGTAAGTGAGGGATGGGGGGGAAGGTTTGAGAGGGGGGCAGCAGCAGATAGATTTGGGGGCAGCAGCCCATAGATTTAG